GTTATAAGGAATTTCTGGTTATAAGGAATATTTTCTCTGGTCCCGTAGAATTCGTTATAACCAGCTTTGACTGTACATGGTAGAGAAAAAACCAAAAATCCAAGACGAAATGCATTTTTACAACACCGCCTCAACAATTTCAATATATCAATAAAAAACAATACATTTATAAACGCGTCTTGTGATTTTCCCAACAAAGGGCAGTCGGTTTACGAACGAACGGACTGGAGTCGGATTGGGATATTAAGATCCCGCATTACAAACCCTATAGGCAGGCTTTGGAAAGGGTTCAAAGATTGAGTTTGGGGCGTTATCTCAGGTGAGAATGAACATTTCTCGTTGAATCGTGGCCACAGCTACCAGTCAGGACACAGTACTCATTAAATTTTTTCCATCTTAGCTCAGATCTAAAGGATGGTACGGCTTCGTCCGGTGAGGTGCTATGTACCGTATGAAAGCAAGATACCATCAATGGCGGTGTTGCTTGCTTTATTAAAAAAACCAAAAATATATGAGATGGTGGGATTTATTATTTTACATTGACACCCCCATATCAATAGATACTCTCCTGGTCTGAACCAGAAATATAATACTCTCCTGGTCTGAACCAGAAATATAATATTAATATGACTACAAAGAATAGCAAATTCTTGAATGTATTTTTTCAAATTCTTGGGAGTCGACATTGACGATGTCGAACTTATTATAAAAATCAGTATTGATGTATTTGGGCACCGGAATTTGGAGTTCTTACCAAATTCCCCATCAATGGGGAATTTGGGTTTTGGTTGCGATTATGTTTAGTCAGGGATGAAAGATAAAGCTCTTTGAAATCATATTAGATCAAACCGAGCATCAATTGAGAGCTCTTTTTAATGTTATACGCCAGTTATATATCATCTATTGACATAAGAATATCCATTAGTCTAGTGGAATTCCAATTAATCATGTAATCGAGGTTTACAGATCCTTTTTATTAAAACTACATGTTATAAACCATCCGGTACTGCTGCTGCTGCTACACTTAATCAGAGAAACTTGCAAATAAACACTATACCCATTTGCTGATATTCACAACTACGCCAAGTTAACTAATCGGCCATAACCTTGTCATGTTCATCGAGCATTCTATTATTGTCTATGAACTTTACATCTTAAATACCAAATTCTCCGCCTCTAGTTCATTACAATCATCTTCATCATCTTCATCATTTTCGTCTTCGTCATCATCATCATCATCTTCTTCTTCTTCTTCTTCAGTGAACTCTGGTGCAAATATTTCATTATCACCCTGAGCAAAGATAATAGTATCAACCGGAATGTTATATATACAGAAACCTACTCGTTCATTTCCTATTACCTATATTTACTCACCATGTAAACCAGACACCATAGTCCCATAACGCCAGTTCGTGCTCTCAAGACTTCGCATACTCTCGGTTGAACGGTTATTCCTTCTCCATCTCTATTAGTGTATACTCTCTCCTCGTCAGCACATCGAGAAAGATAGAGCTGCAGCGATGGAAGATGAGTCCATGTAGTACCGAGAGCTGGTTTGGTGTCGACGGCTGAAAAAGCGGAAAGCGTCTTCACGGTCTTGGAGGAAACACAAGATGTCACTGTCTTGATTGTGGCGTAAATATGGAGTATAGATATAAACAACAAAAAGAGCGCGTTAAGGGTGTTGAAACAGTATTTCACTTCCAAAAGAAATCGTTAAATAAACGTACCAATATCAAAATATTATATGTTCTTGCCATGTGCTGAAGCATTTGTGTTAAAGTCATCATTAACGAATATCCTGTATATCAGAAAAGGTGTAAGATTACATACAATTATTAATATAGCATGATCATGTTTTTCAATATGAATGCAATTGACAGTCTTACTTAAATTATTACATATCGATATTTATCGCTTACCTTGCGAATGCGACGTTTGGACTAATCCCGATAGCACAGCCGATACAGAATCTATTACTATTAATTTCAACCGGCCGTAAAAGTCTTTTGTTTCGCCATGATCATTTCCGTTCCCTTTACCATCTTTTACCGAAATATTCGCGTTTTCTTCCCTCTCATCCCATACTCCTTCCTGACAGCATGCTAATTTGTCATCTTCCACTCGCTCCTCATCTTCCGCTCCATCTTCCTCCGTCCACTGCTTCTCGGCACCCCTTCCCGACTCCAACTCTTTCCTAACGCTCTCGACAGTCTCCAAAACATCATACACGTCAAAACACCTGTAAATTTTCAATCTCGATAGAACAACACCAACATCCACCCCAATGTCACGTAAATCGGCAAACTTGTCACTGTGGAGATATAGATCGCGTATACGCGTTGGGTGGAACGACAATGTTGTGTCAATGTAGATGACGCTAGAAAGAGTTGGCGTTAAGATATGAGAAGGGTCAGCAGTGGAGAAGAAAGAAGATGTTATTGTTGCTAGTGATATAAAGTGTGCTAACTGAGTTGCGCGAGATTAGAAAAAACGTAGATACAAGAATTTGTGTCAATCAATTATGCTAGAAAGAAAAACCTTTGTTGTAAGAAAAAGTAGAAAAGTTTGCATAAATACTTGGGTTTTCCCGGTTCCGGCTGCACCAGATATATCTGCAATTTCGCCGACACGTAAACCTCCTTCGAGAATGTTATCAAGTCTAAGAGCCAAAACTTGTGTTTAATCCATCGCCTCACATTCAAACCAAAATATCTACAAATGCCCAGTTCGATTCACCAAAGCTATTATTACCCTATACATCCAGTTGACAATAAACTCCTTTGATGCTCTTCTATAAGACTTAATCCCCTTCTTACGGGTACTTTACACGTAGCAATTACTTCTCGTTTAAATTCGTAGTAGTCCTAGTCTTTGTGGCTTAGCATTAAGCAGTGCAATGTTGCTAATGGAAGACGTAGATGCTCACTTCGGGAGAAATATTTGTCTTCGAGAGTATGAATTCGTCTTTGGCAAGTAGAAGATCTCTCTCTGCCGTAGAGAATGAAAGTATTAGTTTTGCTGATTGCAAATTGCTACATAATAGCTGGCGCTTGACAAACCTGTCTTTATTCCTATTGTCGATAATTCTTGTATAATATTTGCGTAGTGTGAACCGTAGTACTGCGTAGTGAACATGCTTGACAAGTGACAGATCAGTGGGCAAGAGACCGCGTTCAATGATCAATATGTTCGGCTTAGTTCTGGTAGCACAATCTTGTCGCGTAAATAGTGTAACTTCCGTCATAACGATAAAAATTATAAGGGTCTTTAAATTAAAATGGTAAAAACTAATCAGAATTCGTTGACTGTTGCTTAACCTTCGGTGCTATCAGAGAAAACCTGTCTAAATAAAAGACAGCGATCAGCGGTGAAATATAATTAAATATACTCATTCAAAGCACGGCTGAGGAACGTTCTTAGTCGATGAATCGAAGTAATATCGTTAATTATACTCCTTAGATTAAGGAACTATATCAGTTGTTGTTCTGGTATAGTTTCTCTCCTGCTATCCCTGAAAGATTGAAAAGCCAAAGATTGAATTACTCTAAAAGGGAGCGACTCAAATTAGCATCTTAAACAATAAGGTGATCTACTTTTAGTAATTTAACTTAAAGTAGGTGAGCGACCCATAGTAATATTCCAGCAATAGTAAAATATACGTAGCCGCCTCATCGGCTAACGCCTTAATAAAGCGGCACATAACACCTTCAACAGTTTCCTGAATCGATACGCTTTGTCTAATTAACTAGCTATTTGTTATGCAAGTACATTGTCCCGTTTAACATTTAAAATTAGTCGCATTTCATTGCCACATTAAACATATTTGGCTCATGCAGTCAAATGTTCACTTTGTCTGGTTTTGTTGCAACATGCCCCAAATTAAAATAGTAAAGCATTATCGGGTTTGCGAGATAAATGACTAATTTGTTCTACCTGTATCTAATATGTATTGTCGGGTTTACGAGAAATTTATAAATTACGCGGGAATTGAAAAAAGCATCGATTTTGCGAGTTATCGGTTTTGAGCAGTAACGGGTTGACTGTATAATGAACCGTCACGTCAATGATGCAAGGTTTTACTGCTACTATGATGACGAGTTTTCCTCACCGCCGGTTCATTAATAATCCTAGTTTGTTAATTCAATATTAATATATATTCTTTAAGCGGTAAGTACAATACGTGTCAAAAATATAAGTGCAATTAGTTACTGTAATGATTCATGTTAAATATGATTTTCATGAGTAACGTAAATACCGCTATTCCGATAACACGTAGTGCGTGTGAACAGTAGAGATTTTCGAATTAAAGGGTTTTACTATGCTGTTTGTAAAATTTTGTGTTGTAATTATGTTGTAATGACTGAACTTTGTGCCAGACAGAATGACGACAATGATAAGGAGGACATTTACAAGAAAAGTAACAATAGTGATTATGGATAATAGTGTTCCCTAAACGGAAATATACGGCTTAGAATGCGACTGTTGCAGCAATGTATCCGAACGAATGTAAGGTTTATTCGGTTGTAGAAACTGAAGGCTAATTCCTTCAACGCCCTTTTTTTATTGATAAATAAAGACACGACAGATAGTCAAATACAACAACCTGATAAGACGAAATATTGCCATATATATTTACACTGGTCCTCTTGTTACATCAAGTTCGGTTTTTGACTGTTAAATAATTTTAAAAAATATTAATTAAATTGATTGCTTATCGACATTTCAGAAACAATCGACTTTCGATACATCTTCCGTTATTTTCTTTCTGACACTTGCGTTACTACTTTTAAACGAATTACCTCGTGTTTCTCTGACTTGCGTTTTAATTCGAGAAGTTTCTCATTTTCCTCATTAATGTCAATCTCTGCCATTAGTTCGCTTCCATCTTTAATTGTCTGATAATCGTCGTCAGGCAGGTACAGGTCAGTAGTAGGTGGCAAGAGGACCCTCGCAATTGTCTGTAGAGTTAATATTCATTGATATTGTTATATCTTTCGTGTACTCATGTCCGTCGACCTACTCCCCAAATTCGAGAAAAATACTTACATGTCCAACCCCATTTTTAGCAATGAAATCTTTGAACAATACTCTTACGCCGTTGACAGTTATCTTTACATAATTATGTCCGTAGGACGACGCATCAATCTGCAGTTTCAATCCAGCTAGAGTATCCAATTCGGTGTGGCGCTTGCCAGGAATGCCGCCGAATAATTCTTTACCTTCTATCAGATCAGTACTATAAGCCAACTCTGGCGAGATATGATATTTGAGAATGGTAGTCAGAGCATCCTTTCCATGCGGACTGAACAAATATGCAAGATTGCGAAACCCTAGTTTAGCCCAGGCACGATTAGATGGAATGAACACCGTAATAGCTTTAGACGTTTCAAGAGTTTCAGCCAAGCCAACTTTCTGTAATGCCGATGTTAGAGTAGAGAAAAATGTTGGAATGATGAATAGTTCGGTCATAATATCTGGAGGTGGGATGAGAACATGATCAATTCCGTAAGCATAACCATTGCCAGCTGCGAGATGGTAAATCTTAATTTTTGACCAGTTGATATAAGTACGGCGAATCCAGCCGCTAACGCGAACTTTTTGAGGTGCGTCGTTGAGTCCGGATGAGTTTAGTCCTGTATCCAAAACACGGGAGGCAAGCAAAGATTTATACGGGAGAGCGGCGTTAACGATGTGATATCGAAATATCTGAAACAAAAGAAAAAAAATGCGTTAACGCGATAGTTATCATGTAAATGTTGACTAGATACAGACTCCCAACAGCTTCTTCTTGTCCAGACACTTACTCTACGAATAACCTCCTTGGGAATTTTCTTGTCTTTGAGGCATTCAAGAGCCTTATCGATCGGAGCAAAAAATGTCAACTACACAAACAGCAAAATGAGTGTATCAATGACCTATTAGCATCTGTGCATCCGTAAAAACACTCGTCTTCAACGTAAACCTACAGCTGCATCTTCGTCACTCAGTGTCTCTTTAAGTTCATCGTCGTCATTAATGAACCCGGCCAGAATACTAAACCTAGCATCTGATGTCACTATATCATACAAAGTCGTTCCTTGATTCGTTATTGGGTTGCTGTCAACGCCAACTGCCAGATAATTCTGGTCGTCACTATTGGATGGCAAGAAGACAACGCCGTCATTTCCCTGCTTTATCCCCGCAGCAAGCAGACGTTCTCAACAAATTTGGAGTGTGACAATTTCTTGCAAGACGCAAAAGGGGAGAGTTAGCAGAAAAAAGATGTCTCATGGGAAATGTGTGCGTGAGACTTTCTCGCAACATTTATATGTACAAATTTAGGTTGTTTGTTTTTACGGTTCTAGCCTTTTATGTTTATGGGGAATTTTGTGCACAGCCTTATCGATCAACTGAATAGATAAAACGGTTAATTGATGGACCTTTTCCCCAGAGCACAAAAACCTAATATTAATACTAAGCGAATGAGGCGTAGTAAAAATGTGACATCACTTGTTCAGCAATACTAATTCCTGCTATGCGAATACTTGATGTATTTACTTTGAAACAAAAAAGCTCTCTTTCTTGTAAACCATTTCCTGAATAGGTTGTTTTTTGTTTGTTTTTTTATGGGGGTTTTTATGCGTTCGCTTCGGATCTCTTCACCGTATTTTCGATTGCATAAGTGGGATCTTTGTTTAATTTTATGACCCTTCTCTATACGTGCATCCTATTCAAAGTAAATAGAGAGATTGATTACAACGCGTTGATACGTAAATTGAGCTTACTAAAATGCTTACTATCTGATATCTTGTTTTCAGTAAATCTGGCCTTATTGCACCTCTTCATTCCTTCTCAGCCACTCCCATACGCATTTCCTCTTCCTCATTTCTTAACTTCCTCTCTAAACTCCCTTATTTACGTCCTTGCCTCACCCCTGCGATCCATAATGTCTTTTTCACGCCCACTCCATCTTTTTCTGATCCCTTTATGTCATATTGTCTACGCTAGAATCTCTCGCGCGGGCAGTCAATAATAAGTTATTTGTATCAAAATCATTTGTTTGTTTTATAAAAAGAATTAGACACGTTGTAAGTTTATTTCAAACACAAATAATTTTTAATTTAACCCACAACCAACAGCGCAACCAACAATATTG